ATTCAATTCAAAAAGAATATGGGTGCGTAGTGGTCACAAGTCCCTGCGGTATTCACTCCTTGTGCATATGATGTTGAGGATTTTGAGGTGGGCCATATCACACTGCCGCATGGGCTCCCACAGCTTACATGTTTGGGGACTCGGATTTGTCTACATGTCGTAAGCCTGGCATGTGGTGCCTTTTGCACGGCCAACATGTATGATCGGCATAGCCCTAGCAGGCAGAGTCTGAAAGAAGTCACCAATAAGTTTGGTGACTTCTATCAGATTCTGGTTCTGCCTCATAGGATGATGCTGATCATACATGTTGGCCGTGCAAAAGACACCCACAAACCAACCACTCCAGCAAGTGCGCATCAACCATGCAGGACCTTGATCCCTGGTGATTTCTATCAGATTCTGAGAGCCTGGGCCTTCTTGCAGGGTGAAAGCAGGCTACCCCACAATCCAGCGTTGCCATTCTGTCTATAGCGTTTGCCATGTCCACAATTGGCGCAGGTCGTCAATAATTCAGGCAGCAAGGTGCATTACTGCATCATGTAAAATGATGTGAAGAATCTGTATCACCGCGCATAGACATTGCTTTGTGTCCTGCGCAGTGACTGTAAAGGTGCGCAGTTGTGTACAGAAGTGGAAATAAACAGTGATGTATATATATAACTTCTCCTTTTTTATGATCAGGCTAGCAGTCAGTCGTTTTGACTGGAGGCCTTGTAACCTTGTAACCTTGAAATAAACAGTGTGAGATGACTCGAAGTATCAGGGGTATCAGTGAACAAGAATTCCCAACTTGGGCCTTGTCCGGCCTTCCCCTCGGCAGTAGACTTCCCCTTGCAGCAGCCCAGCCCCTCTCGCTGTAGTACTGCCATCCACAGCAACATGAAGAAAAGCAGGAGCAGGGTTATCAGATGGGGAGGAAGCAATGGGAGCCTGCTGCCCAGTGGGGAGGGTTCCCGAACGAAAGTCATGAAGTTTTTGAATAGAAGTACCTGCAGCATCAATGTCACATGAGGTTTTTCCAATGGAAGCTATTTGGGCAGGGGCTTGAGAACAAGAAGATATGTTTGCTCGATCTTGATGACAGGCATTGAGATGGTTCAAAATATGCAGTAAAATGCCTAAACTGAACTTGTTATGGTGCTCATCGAATCGTGTGGAACCTCTGCACTGTGCCTGTCTTCCGTGCTTTTTAGAGGCATACGGGGGACCATGGCCCTGCACAGTTGATGCGCAGTTGTTAAAGTGGTTGGTTTATGGGTGCCCTTTGCACGGCCAGCATATGTATGATTTGCAAAGCTCAGGGAGGCAGAATCTGCTAGAAGTCCTTGATGAGTTTGCTGACTTCTATCAGGTTCTGCCTCATAGGGCGGTGCCGATCATACATGTTGGCCCTGCAAAGGTCACCCACAAATCAGTCACTTTCAACAAGTGCGCATCAACCAAGCAGGGCCTTGGCCCCTTAATGGCCTCATCAGATCATGAGAGCATAGGCCTTGTTCCAGGGTGGAAGCAGACTACCCCACAATCCAGCGTTGTCATCCTTTGCACTAGCTTTTCTTGATGGTGGTACAGTGGCTGACATGTCACCAATGGCGCAGGTCGTCAGTAATTTAGGCAGCGTTGTGCATCAAACACAGGGCAGAATCTGTGCCACCACGCGTAACAATGGTTTTTTGCATGGGTTTTTTGCCCTGTGCGGTGAATGGATTCATGGAGGGTGTCCTTTCCGCGTGCGGTTGTGTGCGGTAATGGAATTTAAGAAAGCTTGAGATGTCAGTGGATGAGAACTCCCCACCTGAACCTCATCTGGGTCCGACCTGTCCCTCAACAGCAGCCATCCCTTTGCAGCTGCACCTCTGCAAGACACTGCCCCTCTGCAAGACACTGCCCTTGACAGTGCCCCTCTGCAAGACACTGCCCTTGACAGTGCCCCTCTGCAAGACACTGCCCTTGACAGTGCCCCTCTGCAAGGCACTGCCCTTGACAGTGATAGCAGGGGAGAGGGGTGGGGAACAGCAGGGTCCCCAGCGCAGCATCAATGTTAAATGCTGTTTTTAATAGCTGCCCTTGACAGTGATAGCAAGGGAGAGCACAAACAAGCAGGGGTGGGAGTCCGCTGCCCTGAGGGGTGGGGAGCAGCAGGGTCCCCAGCGCAGCATCAATGCCAAATGAGTTTTTCCATTGGAAGCTGCACGAGCAGGGCCCAGCAAACGTTTTCACTTGCTTTTTTTTGTGGAAGCTGTTTGAGTAGAGCAAAGGGCACAAGTTTGCACATGTCTGCATCGTCATGATGGCAGGAACCGTGAGAGGCACCAAGGTCAAAACGTGGTACACAAAGGAGTACAACTTGGAGAATGTTTGAGTAGAGCTGAGGGCACAAGTTCACATATGTCTGCATCGTCATGATGGCAGGAACCGAGGGAGATACTAAGGTCAATATGTGGAGTACAAAAGAGTACAACTTGGGGAATGTCTGAGGAGGGCTTAGGGCACGAGCTCACATATGTCTGCATGGCCATGATGGCAGGAACCGTGAGAGGCACCAAGGTCAAAACGTGGTGTACAAAAGAGTACAACTTGGGGAATGTTTGAGAAGGGCTGAGGGAAGATGGAGACATGTCTGCATCATCATGACGGCAAGAATTGAGATAGGCACCGAGTTCAAATGTGGAATACAAAAGAGTACAACTTGGGGAATATTTGAGAAGGGCTGAGGGCACAAGCTCACATATGTCTGCATTGCCATGATGGCAGGAACTGCGAGAGGCACCAAGGTCAAAATCCAGTGTACAAAAGAGTACAACTTGGGGAATGTTTGAGAAGGGCTGAGGGCACAAGTTCACATACGTCTGCATCGTCACAGTGGCAGTAACTGAGGGAGGCACCAAGTTCAAGACGCGGAGTACAAAAGGGTACAACTTGGGGAATGTTTGGGAAGGGCTGGGGGAACAAGGAGACATGTGTACATCATCATGATGGCATGGAGATGGTCCAAATGCCTGGAGTAGAGTGCAAAAAAATGAACTTGTCTTGGTGCTCCTTAATTTGCATGAAACTTTGAACCTGATGCCCTCTGTGCTCCTCCGGGGCATGCAGAAAACCAAAGCCCTGCACTGTTGACACACAATTGTGGACAGCAATCAACTTATAGGTGCATTGTTGGTGCATGGATGGATGCAAATGATCATTTTTGGGGACGCGGGATGAGTCCCATTTTGCACAGAAATCCAATTGTAGCATCCTGCTGACAAAAAAAAAACTTTAAATCATTCGCTGTATTCTTCACTGGGTTCCGCTTTCTGCGTTGAAATCCAATCATAGCATCCTGGCTAAAATACGTGTCTCATTGTTTGCTGTCCTGCTGGAAAAATTACACATGTCTCATCATTTGCTGGGTTATCCAATTCCCACAGGTGGTCAATGATAGCAACGAGGTGCAATGATAATGATCCAATGATGGGATCCTGCTCACAATTGTGCCTTCTTGATGTTGATGTTGTTATCTGATCCCGGCAGGTGGTCAGCGATCTAGGCGACGAGGTGCAGCAGGTGGCGTCTGTGCTGCTGCCCATCCTGGATAAGATGGCCAAGCGGGTGGTGGTAGCGGAGCTGGAGCTCATCCGTGGGCACCAAACCAAGCTCAACCAGCTGACCATGCGGCTGCTGGCGGTGAGGAAGATACTGCAGCTTGTGCTCTGTGTGTGTGT